ATGATGGTTATTTACTAAATACAGACAGACATGTGATAACTTACTTACTGCAAATCATAAACCAAAGCAAACCCAAAATACCAAATATTAAAGTAACGGAAACCATCGCAGAAATTCCAATATTTCCAGTTTTCCTCCCCAAATGACAAACAGAAAGATTTTCTTCTTCCTCTAATCGAATTGCTTCTAAAACTCTCTGAACCTCTTTAACAATTTCCTTGACAAAATCTGCTTCAGAGCTACCCAAAAAACAAGATTCACATATTTCATAACATATATCCTTCATAACCAAAAAAAAAAAAAAAGAAACAACATTTACGTAGAACAAAATGAAAGAAGAAGAACAAGTGGAGGAATCATACCTCCTGTCTGGCAACGACATACCCATCTTATTGCATATACATTGAAGAGCATCTTTCCACTTGGTGATCCGATCTGGATTAGCCTTCGCAAGCTTATAGAAGTTTTCACCAAACTCACCTTTCAGATTTCTAACGTCTTTTGCCTGCACTTTGTAGAAAATTGGAATCACTATGAGCTTTTTCTTAACCACAAGCTTCTTCATCTTCACTAACTCATCCATACACCACTTTGACTCCGGATACCTACAAGACGATGAGGATCTACATCAACGATAACATATACTGATATACATGAGAAAAAAAAAATACTGATATACATGAGACTATTATTCTAGTGAGTCGTTCATAAAAAATAAAATAAAAAGTTAGGGCACCCTCATTGGGGAGCTTTTAAAGAGTTTCTCATTAAAAAAAGGAAAATGAAGACAGAGAATGCAAATATAGAGGAGAGAGGTATGATGATTCCTAGGAAGAGCTTCTGACAAAGTCTGAAGAGATTGCTTGTTTTCAATGTATTGATCCAGCTGATTTTAAAATATTTTAGTATTAATTAATTTTTATTTTTCTTTGTTTTTGAGAAATCTCTGACAGTATCTGATGACTGCGAATGTCTTATAGTCGTCGTTGAAAAATGGGTTATATATTAATATAAAAGTGCAAACCTTGGAGAGAAGAGAGCAATAGCAATGCTCGAGTCTTCGATCCTAACAAATAGATTCTTGAGGTCTTTGCCTTTCTGCTCGTGTACATCTATGAAGAAGTTGATGCCATGCCTCTCAAAGGCATCAACGAGGTGGCTAAGGAAGTTTAACCTCACATCTTCACCTCGAAAATTTAAAAATATTTTATGCGTCTCCGCGGGAGACAAGTACTTTGTAATCAATTTTGTGCAAATGATCAACACTACTGGGAATGAAAGAAAAATATGTGAGAAGAGGAAAACAAATAAAATATTACTTCTAAACATGATAGAGAAGGAAAGCCTTAATGGTTACGCAAACGTTGACCAAAAAATAAGAAGTCTTTTACCAAAAACAAAAAAAAAAGATAGAAATAGTCAAAATCTTGAAAGGAGAGAAGAAGGTTGTTTGGGGTTTATTTGGGGTTTATAAAGGAAAAGAGAAACAGCAAGAACCCTAGGTAAAACCTTAACGAAAAGCAGTGAGCAACTCTTTCTCTCACACCAATCACATCCTCGTTCTCTCTCTCAAAACCCAATGTAAAATCTTAACAGACAGCAGTGAGCAACTAACTGTCTCTGTCTCTCTTTTATCAAAACCTAATGTAAATCTTAACAAACAGCAACGATCAACTCTCTTCTTCTTCTCTCTCTCTCTCTCTCTCTCTCTCTCTCTCTCTCTCTCTCTAAACCCAACGTAGGCCCCTCCACCGGACTTTTCTGAACGCGGTTTTGATAATCCCTACGCACCCGTCTTATAAGACATGGAGAAGAATGTATCTTTAGGGGTTTCATAGTATTCCTCCCAAAAAAATACATATACCCTACTCTCATCGAAACCCGCTAAGTTTTATATGTTAACAGTCTCTCTCCAGTCTCATCAAAGAGTCTTTGACAAAGACCCACGCGCTCCCCTCCGCAAAGTTATATATTCAACCTAATTCCATAAACCTAATAAAATTAGTATAATCACGTTTTATTTTCCTAATAGCGTTTAAAAACCTGCAATTACCCATAAATTCCCATGCATTTATCTGACTTCCTGCAGAGCTGGCTCTCAGAATTAGAGAGCTCAAAGCGACTTTTAACGATTTCATCTAAATTTTTTTTTATGGATTCAGAGACCTATAAAAAAATTTTGAGGACCTAGCTACATGTAATTTCTTTCAATAAATTTGGAGGGGGGGGGGGGTGAGAGGCCAAGGCCAATGTTTTATCCGGCGTGGCCCAACACCACCCTGCTTCCTAGTCTAGCCGTCTATGTTACTGTTACTGGAATTTAGAATCTGACTCATGACTAATTATCTGTTCAATTCATCCTTTGACAAGCTCTTTGAGTCCTTATTGATACATTGCATTGATTACAGCATACTCAAGGCAACTTGGAGTTATATAATTTTTTTTGTTTATATAGTTCAAGTCATTCTTTGGCAATTTTCAAGACTTCTAATGTGTTTGTTTTGTCTATGCCATTGATATGGTGGTGCATATCTGTATAGCTAGCTAGACATTAATACGCATTGCCCAAGTTATTGTTCTTCAGATGTTTTTGCATACGTTAATCATCCACTACAAGAATAAAGGCTCCACTCCGAGGATTACTAGATATGTGCGACGATTACCCTTTAGTCAGAGTTTGAGTGTCTGCGAAACAAAGGTTCTCGGAAAATTGCTTTTATCAGAAAATTTGTTGGAGTGAATTTTCAGAAAATTCTTGGAATTTTCCAATAGACCAAAACCAGCAACCGTCAAATTTTTCCTAATCACATTGGAAAATTTCCCGGAAATTTAATTGATTTTTTTTTTTAAAAAAACATAAATTGTTTGGTTGCGTGAAAATTATGTATATATTTATATTGTGCTTGAGCAAGAAGGTGCAGACAAATACTGAAAGCCGAATTTTTGTGTTCCATTTCTGAATACGGCTGTAAACATGAAAAGTTCAACCCAAAGAAGATACAAACACGTGCTGACAAAAAAGAAGAAGATACAAACACGTGCTTATAATAGATCACGTGAAAGATGGCCCAATTTCAATCAACAGTTAAATCTTTTAGATCCCTAATTTCTGATTTACAATAAATACCCTAAGAGTATCTCCAAAATGATTTTCTATTTTAAAGTTTCAAAAACTCTATATTTGAAATTTCAAGGTGTTCTTCTCCAAAAGAAAAACTTCAAATTTAACTTTAAAATTATTTCTATTTTACAGTTTGATCCTTATATTTGCCATAGTTAATATAAATTCATAAAACATTGATAAATAACATACACATATATATAAATTATACAACAATATTAAAATCTTACACTAAAATATAAAATTATAAATACAAATACATGATTATTACAAATAGAATACCACATTTTTATTGTCTAATTTTAATTTTAAAATATTTTAAAATACTAAACTACAAGCAACTATTTTAAATTTTACTATAAAAATTTATTTAGTTTTACGTCTAAAACTTAAATTTATAAAAGGTAAAGTTTAATTTCAAATATTTATAAGATTTAAAAAGTTTTATGGATTAAAACAATAAACAAAAAAGTATTTATGAATTTTAATTTTAATTTGTAATTGTAAGGACCAAAATGCAATAAAAAAGATGAAACTTCCAATTTAGAGTTTTGAGTATTGAAACTTCAAATATAGAGTTTCACTCTTTAATTTCAAATTTGAAGTTTTGAGGTTTCTTTTTGGAGAACAAAAAACTCTATATTTGAAGTTATAGAATTTCTTTTGGAGATATTCTAACTACCACACAAGACTCAAACAAATTCAACTCATAAAGACGAAACATGTTTCAAAACTCGACGACGATATAAAGAATTCTACAGTAGTAATGGGATTTAACGGAATAGCACTCATCTTAGCCTAGATCGGAGGGCCAGAAGCGGATCAGAGAATATATATGATAACTTGATCACCAAGCAAACTAGGGTTTCGCCATGGATCTCATATTGTCGCCAGGACCCAATAGATTGGAAATAAAAGGACAAACAAGAAAAATAATTAAACAATATGAATTGGCAACATGTTACCTGATGCTCAAGAAACAAGGAAAAAGGACAACTCATATACATGACAATAACATGAGCCTAACATGACGGAAGATTACTTACGTCAGCTTACGTTATCACATGGGCATGGATGGGGACCGCATAAAAGACTGATGTAAAATTTGCAGAGTCGATACCACGACATCCAAATGAAGTGAAGACGCACGAGTTTCAAAAAGTGGAGTATCAGGAACATATCAGGTCAAAAATTCAACCCATGGAAACAAAGTCAGCCAAACGTAGCAAAGAAGAAGAGGTAAGCAAGTACTCCTCTCTATCTGTCTCATTTATTGTTTTGGAAATGTCATATTCTATGGTTTGTTAATAATGTCCAAAACTTGCCGAAAATAGTTTTGTTTGTTGGTGTCATGTCGATCTATAGAGTAGAACGAATGACAAAAAAGGAAACATAAAAGTATTAGGTGTTGTTTCTACGTTATGGGGTTGTGTCTTTTCCCCTCCTTTAACGATTAGAACACATTGAATTGATTAATTCAACTACTCAATACCTCTTGCCATAACAATTATAACACTTGGAAGAAAAATAAGGATGGTATAAGCAAATGGCTCAATTGACCGGCCCTGGGCCCAAACAAAGGAAACATGGGCTTGCGGTCAGCCAATATAATATGAATATAGTCAGCCACACTTTTCAAAAATGTATCTGTAGCTTAGTGGTTAAATAAAGTATTGTTCGTCCAATCCAAAGCTCGAATAAAATATTTTCCGCCCATTTTTTCTATTTTGACTTCTTCCCTTTAAAATTTTGGGCCTGGCTCACCATCCATGATCCTATTGTTGCTGTTCAACCATTCTTCTTCCTCCACAACATCAAATCTGAATCTGCAGTTTCATTTCATAAGAAAAGGAAAAAGAGTTACTCAAGTAAGAGATCACTTAGCTTCTATAATGGGGGTATGGTAATGATAATGGATTCACTTACCAACACCACCTCCCAGAATCTCATGTACAGTCCTCTCTCTGTTGAATAATTTTCCAAAGAAGAACACAATTGAGAAGAAAGATCAGCAACCTCAGATCTCAAATGTTACCACTTACCAAGATATGTACTCTGAATATCAGAAACAGATCATCAAAAACGAAAGAACCGGATGAATCACACAAGAAGAATGAAAAAAGTGATTGAAACTAAAGTTGGGTCATCACCATCAAGTAAACATGGTTTGATTTACCAAAAAGAAAAATCAAACAATACACAATGCACAACCCGTTTATTCTCTGGTTTCTGTCTATGTAAAACTTGTATGTTCTGTATGTAAAGCTTGTTGAAAACAAAAGAAAAGAGTGAATGTTCCGCCACCCTCATCAATCAATAACGCTCTATCTTCTCTGCTACTTTTGTTTCTCAGTTTCCTCTCTTTGAGAAGTAATCCCAACATCTCCAAGATTGGCACCAGCCGCAGAAGCATCTAACAAACTCGCTGCAATCGCTGCCTTCAAAGCATCATCTTCCATCTCTGAGAAAGTCCGCACTTCCTCACTCGACAACGCCTGATACGGTCTTTGCTGATCAACATTCTCACTACTACTGTTGTTAACAGCCGAAGAAGAACTCTGTGTTGAGCTAGTCTCCTTTAGTATCCTCTCTGCGTCTTCAGGAGAAAGCCACTGTCCAAAAGCGTTGGAAGCTTCCGAACAAGACGACATGGGACATTCCTGCGGGAAGTTTCCTTTCACTATGAAGATGCTCCATCCCGAGCCTTTCAGAGAGTCGAGAAACGCTGAAAGGTAGAATTTTGACAGGTGTTGCGGTGCAGCGAGGAGGCTGTCGAAGTTATACCATTCGCCGCTCACTTTCTTTATGCAAAACCAATGGTCATGTAAGTGGCAAATGAAGGAGTTTTCAAGCTCGGGGTCTATCTGTGCAGGCTCTGCATCGGGACAATTGAGTGGTATCACTTGTAGATCCCACACTTCCAAAGCCTTTTGCAAGACCTGTTCAATCAAAATACAACTTTCCTCAGTGAAAAAGATTATGGAAAACTTCATATATACTTCCCACTAGCTTCAGAAGATTTAGATGCTAATATACAGATCACATAAACCCACAAACATCGCCTCTACTTTTCAAAATGGTATGTAAATCGCCATTCAGAGAAATGATTGGTTTGCTATTTCTATACTCATTAAATCTTAACGCACAAAATTTGCAAGAAAGCTGATTTGTCCCCCTGCAGACTTATAAAGCCACTAGTTTTCAAGCTACCCAGGAACCATAGATGGTAAGAGACTTCTAACACGAGGCAATCATAATCAAACCTGAAGTGAGTAAAAGATACAACTTTAATCTCTGAAATCATGAGTCCCTAGATTAAGAAATTCCCTATAAGGTTCCTTCATATCTCAATTAATTGTTTTAGCAATCGATCTTTAGCACTTAGCTATCAAAAAAAATCAAATCTTTAACTGGTGCTTTGATATTCAAGATTGTAGATATGCATTCTCAAAATATTCTCTACTGCAGTTTAATCAAGCAACTTCGCCTCAAATCGAAATCCTCTAACATGTAATAACTGGTTTGCTTTGTGTACACACAAAACTTGCAAGACTTATCATGCCACTAGCTCTCAAGCTATCCAGAAACCATAAATGATAAGATACTTCTTATTACACGTGACAAACATGATCAAACCCCGCAAACAACTAAAATCTATGAAATGATGAGACCACTAAGAGAATCCCTAAAGAGCCCCTTCATGTCTCAATGCAAAGAACCATTACTAATCTCAATTCACGATCTTTAGCACTTATAGCCATAATAAAGTTCACTTTCGACTCTTTAATTGTGTGCATTGATATTCAAAACCGTACATAATAAGCATTCAAAATCCACCGCCAAAATCGAAACCCTAATTTCAAGTAATTGAAAGTCAATTGCCAAATTCAATTCGAAATTGTACCTGGATACTGAAATCTCCGCCGAGGGAAACATTATGAGACTCCTCGGAGAAGAAATCGCCGGCGGCGAAGTTTCCGGTGGCGGTGCCTTCGAGCATGACCTGACGCTCCTTCCCGTCGAGATCGGATGCGACGGCTGCCAAGTCGAATTCGGAGAAGAAAGGTCCTTGCAGGACGGTGTTGACGCAGTGTACGGCGCATAGACTAGCTTCCTGCACCTCGTGGTAAAGCATTCCTCCATTGCTTGTTCGTTCCATCGCCGAGCAAGATTGAAATCAAAAACCCTCAATTACTCTGATGTATTTTTTTTTTCTTTTTTAACAAATTAGGCTGATATATATACTGAAGCGAAAGAAGAAGAAGCAATGGAAGAAGAAGAATAATTGGACATGTGTACATGAGTTGTAACTCTTAGTTTTATTTTTACATTAATTAAAGTCTTAGTTAATTATCTCTTTTTATAGTTAAGTATCTCATACCTATTCAATAGATACTTAACTAAAAAAAAGAGATAAGTTAATTTCAAACTGCTTGGGTTAGTGTTGTTTGATAGATTTTAAACAATATTAATCTATTGAATAGTTACCACTTTTTTTGTGGTTGATATCAGTATTATTAAAATAGAATAAATTTTTATCTATTTGCAAATAATCTGGATTAGATCATTATACTTATTTAATTTTAAGTTATTTTACATATAATAAACATAATTATTATTAAATAAACACATAATCTTAACATATTATTTAAATACATTCAAATAAGATATCTACTTAATTATTTTTTTCAGATTGCATTTCAACAATATCTTTTTATATCTTTTATATATAAATATTTATTTTTTTAATATTATTATAATAATAATAATTTTAAATAATATTAAATTCAATTACAAATAAATATTAACTCATATTATTTATAGAATAATAAATAACCTTCTATAATATTTATAGATAAATACTTCATATTTGTAATTACAAATTACACTAAATAATAATTATAAAATAACTTAAATACATTCAAATAAGATATCTACTTAATTATTTTTTTCAGATTGCATTTCAACAATATCTTTTTATATCTTTTATATATAAATATGTATTTTTTAATATTATTATAATAATAATAATTTTAAATAATATTAAATTCAATTACAAATAAATATTAACTCATTTTATTTATAGAATAATAAATAACCTTCTATAATATTTATAGATAAATACTTCATATTTGTAATTACAAATTACACTAAATAATAATTATAAAATAACTTAATCTATTTTTACAAATTATAAAACTAAATGAATTATATTTATATAATACCATATATTTATATAGTTTACAACACACTTCAACTTATTGAAAGAAAATACTAAAGTAACATAGTTAAAATAAGAAATAGTTTTATATTTTATTATACATATGTAAATTAAAATATTAGGATATATTTTAATATAAAATACAATACTAAATTTAGTTGACATTAATTTTATTTTATTATATGGTATACTGAACTGTATATTATAATTTACGATTATAGTTTCTTGCAAATTATTTCATAAAAATGTAAACAATAAAAACTAGATTCATATAATACCTCTAAATTTTAAAAAATATAATTAAAATTAATATGAGGCGCGTTATAAAAATGAATTATCTTATTTTCCTAAAATTATATTTATACAGATTTTAATTTAATTAATATACTTTAAAAACAAAAGTTTCTTTATGAAATTAAATCAAAATACAATTTATATTTCTAGACCATCTAAATTAGGTTTTAAGTTAGACTTGAGAGTTTAGGTGTCCGTTAAGATACGGATTGAGTATTTTGAATTTTAATTCTAATTTATATCACATACTAGGTCTCATTGTTGTAAATTTGTAAATACGGATTATAATTTGGATATAACACATTAATTTTTTGTTCTAATTTGTATCATATCTTAAAATCACAAAGTAATCATATATATCGTTAAAATGTGGTTTATACTGGTTTGGTCCGGATATTTCTGAAGTTAATCCAAAATTATAAAGTAAAACATAAGAAATAAATATTTATTTATATATAATCAAGATATTTAAGGTACTTTTTAAAATTTAAATATTTATTTCTAGATATCCCTCGAAAATAAATATAGAACTAAATAGTCGAATGATATATTTATATTTCAAAAATATTTATATTTTTGATTAATTTGAACATTCAGATCGGTTTTTCAAAACTTTACTGGTCTTTTCGGGTTATCGATTTAGATTGGGTAATAACACTTCTAGTTTTGATATGTTTTGTACCACTACTACCCTACAAGTTCTTTCTGGTATTTTTTATATTTCAGACCGGTTATAGATAAGGTTTTCGTAGTTTAGATTTCGGTTTGGACTTCGGATTATGGATTTATACTCAATCATACTTTAAATAAAGAGAACTACCATTATATAATGTTTTCACCGAAAAATTTATCTTGCGTTTTAAAAGCGGATCAAAATCTATTCTTTATATTAAAACAATGTGACAACTTCATATATGTTATAATCTCAGTAACCTAAATAGTTTGTGACCAATGCTAATAACCTTTAAACATCTACATAGCTAAAGTTTCTCAAATAAGTTATAATCTCACTAATATTAACATTTTATTCTAATAACATAACATTGCTAGAGTTTTTCAAATTAATAAAATTGAACTATTCATAAAGAACCATAGTTTTTTATATCTCATTTGAAAATCTAACTTCAAAAACTTTTCTGTTTTGCCAAAAGGTGTGAAAAGTAACGTCACTATGCTGCAGCCTGCAGGAATTCAATTAGTTTTCAACTTCATTGTCCCAAAGTTTCGAACTCTTTCTTTAATCAAATAAACATCTTACAGACAAGTGTCCTATTATTTATTAAACACACAAAATACAATTATCAAAACCAAACCCAAACCCAAACCCAAATCATCAACAACTACACCACTTATATCTACATTTTAAAAATTACAAGCAAATACTTTAAGTAACATCAAACAAAACCTAAACCAACACTGTAACCCTGTGAAGAATCTCAACACTTGAAGCCAGTTTCTTTCATTCAATGTGCTCGACCTATAGCTTTCTTGTACTTGTAGCGTTTGGAGATCCAAAGGTAAACCAAGAAGTTAATGAAACTCAGAGCCGCCAACAAGTAGAAGAAGTAATCCAAATGCCCCCGGTTCAAGTTATCCGGTATCCAACCCGGTTTACCATTCTTCTTAGTCAATCTCATCACAACCGTTACAAGAACCGTACTCAAGTAGTTCCCAAGCGCAACCGTAGTCAAAGACAAAGCAGAGCAGAGACTTCTCATAGCATCAGGAGCCTGGTCATAGAAAAACTCAAGCTGACCTATAAAGGTGAAAACTTCAGCACACCCAACAAGTAAATACTGAGGTATCTGCCAGAAAATCGACATGGGGATCTTCTTATCATCATAAGCGTTGTGGGTTCTGACGTAGTCGAGCCTCACGACCTCCAAGACACCAGCAGTGACCATGGCAAAGATTGAGATCACTAGACCTATTCCCATACGTTGAAGCTGAGTGAAGCCACGTTCTTGACGTGTGAACTTTCTAGCGAACGGGACTATGAACATGTCGTAGACAGGAGTCCAGAAGAGTACACTGACCGTGTCGAAAAGCGAGAGGGAAGCTGATGGGATTTCGAAGTTTTTCCCCATGTGTTGGTCCATTGTGTTTCCTTGTAAGACAAACATTGTGTTCATTTGGCTGTACACTGTGGCAAAGACTATCCCTGAGGCCCATACTGGAAGAAGAGTGATTATGGATTTGAGTTCTTCCACTTGTGTTACTGAGCAGAGTCTCCATGGATTCACCGCACCGTCTTTGATGCTGTCTGATGGACTCTCAACCGCTGCCTTGTCGAAAAACCTAACATGTTCAAGTCTTTGGTTAGAAACCTCATAGGGAATGGTTAGAATCAGTGTTCTAAAAATTGGCTAGGCAGCAAACTGGACCTAAATGAAATGATTTTTTTAGAACAATATATTTAAAAATCGGTCTAGATGTTCAAAAGATCGGTCTAGACACCCGCGTAATCAATAATCCCCTATAAAATGCCTAATTGACCCCCTAGCAATTTCTTGAACATTTGGTTAGAAAAGAACAGAGATGTCAACTTTTGTGTTTCTTCTTACATTAAATTGTCTGTGTGCTCAAGCTTCCTGCTACCTGTGATATTACTCTCATCATCTGCAGTCTCAAAGAGCAGAGACTTATCCTCTGGAACCTTAACACTCACCTTCCTAAAAGCAGCAACTATAACCTGAAAGATCCTTGTGAGTGGACTCCCTCCAGGTCTCTGAAGCCTGTAAAAACGACTCCCCAAGAAGAAAAACACAACAGCAATAACCATAGCCACTGTCGGAACACCGAAACCCCATCCCCAACCAACGTTCATTTGAATCCAGACAAGAACAGTGGCAGCAACAAGAGCTCCAACGTTGATGGAGAAGTAAAACCAGTTGAAGAAAGAGCTTTTCTTCAGCTTCTCACCTTCGTCATTCTCATCAAACTGATCAGCTCCAAAGGAGGAAACACAAGGTTTTATACCTCCTGTTCCAAGGGCTATCATGTAAAGCGCAACAAAGAATACAGCTGTTTGGCCAGAGTTCGGGTGACACGTGTCGCCGTTGCAGTTGCCAGGTTTAAGTCCTGGAACTGAAGCTGATAATGTCAAAAGAGTCATACCCTGGAAGAGAAGACTTGTTACTTCCACATTTTAAGGTTAATCATTAGAAGAAGAAGTGAAAAAAAACTCACGGAGACATAGATGAAAACAAAAGTTGCAATAGTCCAGTAACGTCCAAGATAAGCATCAGCGAGAAAGGCACCAATCAAAGGAGTTATGTAACATGTTCCAGACCAGTTAGTGACGTTATTTGCAGCAGTAGCGTTGCCTTGATTGAGACGGCTTTCAAGATAGTTCACGAGGTTAGTTCCCATTCCATAGTATGCCAATCTTTCACAGCACTCGTTACCTAAAAAACAAAAAAACATTAAAACAAAACACACACAAAACAGTGATCATATCATCCTAATGAAACATTTGTTACCGAGGATGAAGCGGCAAGCTTTCCAGTTTCCGGTTGTCTTCTTATTAGCAGGGTTTTTGTGAATATCAACAGTTCCATCTTCTGTATACATATCCTTTTCGTCCATAATCCTATAAAAATTAAACCTTTTCAATCAATAACTGTTGGGTGGGAAACACACAACTTAAAGATTAATGAACTTTTGGTATGTATGAGCAAAACCCATCAAGGTTTTCAAGTAGCTGAATCATTTGATTTTATGAATAGACAGAAAATATCACTAGAATTGGTTGATACAAAGAATTACAAATAAATAGTAAAAACTTAGAACAGATCATGCTGATGAAGCAAGTATAAAAACCCATGCTTTGAATATTCAAGATTCAGTTACCAAAAAAAATAAAGAATATTCAAGATTCTGTGTAAAAGCGTAAGACTCAAAAGGATAAGACATAAACAAGACTGTATTCGTCTGTAAACAGAAGCAATGAACAGAAAAGCTTTAAAACATAGCTAAAAACTCCAAAAACCTTTGTTCAAGATAGAGGTCGACGGTGACGGTGGCAGAATCAGCGGCGGAGATGGCGGAGGAGAAGATAAGTTTTGACTTTTGAGAAAAGGGTAAAAGGAGAAGAGAATGATTGCACGGCACCTGTGGGGAGTATGGGAGGAGTATTAATGAGTGTAAGCTTGAAGTGCTCTCTGTTTGCACTTAATGACCAGCTTTTTATTTATATCCAAAGATGGAAAGAAGAGCGTTCTTTACTTTTCTTCCCATGTCTGCAGTTTCGTCCCCAATGTTTTGATAAGTTTCAGTAATAGCCGCAAGGAATCTCCTCCACCTAACTTTAGTGGACCTCTCTACCACTAAAAAACAATAAAGCCAACAAGTGTGAAAACAATAACTTTGGTCAAAAATTAAATAGTATTGTTTTCTTTTAAAATTGTGTTCATACTTCATATTGAGTGTCTATTTTTTATTTATGTATTTATTTACGTTATTTTCAGAAACTATTGAATAACCAACTAAATCTTTTTCTTTTCATACTTTGTGATGTTTTAAAAGAAAATGAGCCATAAAAGTAGAATGTTTACATTGCAATTTTAATTTTGTGTGCTTTTGATATATCATTGGTTCTAAAAAGAAAGAAAATTACAAAAAAAAAAAATTTCTATATTTGGTTTTGGACATTTTAATTGATATTTGTTGGATTTGTGAGATATAAAAACAGATAACTACAGTAATTCGATTTTCCTTTTGGTGGTTGCGTCAGTTTCAGTAGTTTGATTAACTCATAATTACGTAGAGAGTCAGAGGCCAATATAGCAAACTTTGTTTTAAAGGGTCAAAATAGAAGAAAAAAAGAAGATTTTAGTTGATCGTTTGAAAACTACGGATAGTGATGTCGAGAAGTAAGAGATAAATGGGGTTTGATTTGGTTTAGGTGAAATAGTAAGGGCAAATAGACAATTATTTTCAAGTTAATAATAGTTGATCTAAAGATTCTTTTAAGTAACAATAAAAGAATTAAGCCAGTTTACAAAAAAAAAAAACAATAAAAGAATTTGATGTATGCATGTGAATCCACATAGCTGGATCCTAAGGGATTAGCAGAATCTCGACTTGGTTAATGACTTGAAACTCTTTAATCACCAAATGATTTGCTGTAACTTATAATTTGACCTCTTTAAGTACATGTTGGAAAGTCATCGAATTATGTCGAAGATTATCAAAAACTAATTGTTTAATGATTAGATTATCTTGCAAGCAAATATCACTTAGCCGCTGACTTAAGAAAGACTGAGATCCCAATGCATTATTTTAGTTACTATTTGCATACCCCCCGCGCAAGCGCGGGGATGGGGATCATTGATGTTTGTCTGCGTTTTTTTCGGTTGTTGGTTTAGTGGGTTATTCTAATAATACCAAATAATGATGAAATGAAAAGAATGTAGCAAGAGTGTAAAGTGAAAATATTATATATATATATAATGTGTTAAATGTTATTTATATGTGAAGTAAGGTTTATAGGAATAACAAAATTATAAAATAGTTTTGTATAATAATAGGTGTCTATCTTGTTTTTTATTTTTTTATGTTGGAAATAGTTTTTATATCAGATGTCAAAACTTGATATAGTTATTTATTTATAGTATTTATATTTGTACTAAACGATTTATCAATTTGAAAATAACTTTAATTTAATCTAATATTTGTTGTTTGGGTTTCAATAGATAGGTTTGGATATTTTTCTTTTTGTAAGTTTGGATTTTTTTCATGGATAATATGGCATTTTTATTGACGGTGTCATCGACTGTGGAAATCTATTCGCCGGTGTCTGATAAAAATGAACTTAACTATTAAAAATTGAAGATAAATTACATAGTTATTTTATTAATAACAAAAAATACTTAATTTTGTTGTTTTATTTTATTTCACATACATAATTTTTTGAAAATATATATTAGAAAATATGTTCTAACAGAAATATATATTAGGACATGATAGTGCCACGTGAGACTCGTTTTGTTTTTAGGGATGAAATGGAAATAATGTAGCAAGAGCGTAAAGTGAAAATATTGTATATATAATGTGTTAAATGTTATTTATATGCGAAGTAAGATTTATAGGAATAACTAAATTGTAATATAGTTTCTAGTGTATAATAATAGGTGTCTATCTTGTTTTTTTATCTTGGAAATAGTTTTTATATCGAAGGTCAAAACTTGATATAATTATTTATTTATAGTATTTATATTTGTACTAAACGATTTATCAATTTGAAAATAACTTTAGTTTAAGCTAATATTTGTTGTTTGAGTTTCAATAGATAGGTTTGTATATATTTTTTTGTAAGTTTGGATTTTGTTCATGAATAATGTGGTATTTTTATTTACGGCGTCATTGACTATGGAAATCCATTCGTCGGAGTCTGATAAAAATTAAATTATAGTAACTATTAAAAATTGAAGAGAAATTACATAGTTATTTTATAAATAAAAAATACTTAAATTTTGTTGTTTTAATTTATTTCACATACATAATTTTAAAAAAATATATATTAGAAAATATGTTCTAACATAAAATCTAAACTATTAAAGGGGGAGTACAAAAAAGAAATAAACCTTAGTTTTCCTAAAAAATTACAATAGAATGCCACTGCAATAAAACACTGTAGTTTAATATTTATATGGGCTTCAATATAGATTTAAGGTCCACTAATTTTAAATCAAAATCAAATTGTCCAATTCAGTTTTTAAAATGATATCTGTTAATAAAATTGCCAGAGTTCTTACTTTGTGAATATATTTAATCATTGCTATCTAAATAATTTATTTATTTTTTTTAAGATATCTATAAAATTTGATTTTAAACAATAATTTCAATCACAAAATTTATAGTATAATTTAATAAACACACACAATCTAGACAAGATACTCTAATATTTTACACTTAATGGTTTAGTTTACCAAGTAAGAAAATGTACGATGTCAAAACCATAACGGAACCTAAAATATATCTTGATTATATAGAACATAATCATTGTAAATAAAATTGCTAGAGCTCTTATTTTTTTGTGAATATTTTTTAATTCTTGCTATCTAAATAATTTATCTTAAGGAAATATCTATAAAATCTGATTTTAAATAATAATTTCAGTCCGAAAATTTATAGTATAATTTTATAAAACACACACAATATACAAAAGATACTCTAAAATTTTACACTTAATTGTTTAGTTTACCAAGTAAAAAAAAATACTATAATATCAAAAAAATAGAGCTTGATAGTTAAAAAAGAGACACTAAACAAAATGAACAAGATACACCACATCATAACTCAATAACCTATGAAACATAAATATTAATGTTTTCTACAATTAATACAATAATATATTTATACAGAACATACATCCGCGCCCGCGCGGATCAAAAGCTAGTATATATTAGGACATGATAGTACCACGTGGGACTCATTTGTTTTTCGTTTTTTGAACTGTTCGTTTTTTTATCCTTTTCAATTGTTTTTTGGTCTAAGTTCGTCAAACTTTAGGAAACAATAAGTCCAGAGGAAAAAAAACATAAAAACATAAAAACATTAAAACTTAAAAACCATATGATAATAATTCAAACCAAAAATACTAAAATACACAACAGCTACGCGGTTTGAACTCACACACTTGTGGACTTCATTAGATGCTTTATACCACTGGACTAAAGTATATTTATTGTTCATACTCATTTTAAACAAACTCTAAACTTTTAAAATTTAAATGCATGGGACCCACAAACTTGCTGATGTGTACAGCTTTATAAGCCTTAGAAGTGAACTATTATAATATAGATTGCTTGTAGGAATATGGGTTCACATGGTTTAGTCCTTGTAAGTAATCTTTAATCTATTGTTTGAATTAATGATTATAACCAGTTGATACATATCATAATTAGGAACTTGTTAATAATGGCCTATTGGCATAATTCAACCCTTTGTTTCGATAGCTACATTGAGATTTAAACAATACTAGCATGTTAATCTTCTACTAGAAAGGGTAGTATTACTAATAGCTGGCTTACAACACCAAATAGAATTATACTTAAAGTTCCAGAATTTAATGATTTATCAAAGAAAAACAACGCAAGAATCTTTAGATCTGACAAACTCTTGCAGTTTAATATACCATACATAAGGTCGATTTGATCTGGTCTCCTCACATTCGAGCTACTGACTTAAATAAACAGAGCAACACACATGATCCATTGTAAAAACTCTATATAAACAGATTCGAAGCATGGCTCATCAACCAGCTCTTCGATCAATCTTAAACCAAGACCAACTCATGAAATCATACTCAAAATAACTTGTGATGGAGGTAACCTAGATGAAGTGATAAAGTCATCAACGTTAATATGAAAGGTTGTTGCGAGGTCCAATATCACTTGTTGACAGATCTTACTGGAATGTATAAATAAACAAAACCAGTCAGCCTAATGTAATGACTAGATAGATCCATATTTGTCATATAGTATAAAATTATTAAGAAAATTTGGATCATAGTAATTCTACGTCATTGATTCTTCCAATCCAACTAAGAAACAAAATTCTTATTCATTTATTGCGTTGTATCTACGTCTCACATTTGTTTTAAACACTAAATGTGGAAATTCTAGTTCTATAACATTTAATTCAAAATATTACAGGGTTGTATTATGCATTATTTTCACGTAGACGGTTGGTTAATTAGAATTCACTGGTGATTGTTTTTTAATATTTGTGTATAACTTGTAAAATGGTTTAAAAACTTGATTGGTAAAATAATGTGTTTTGTAAGAAAGTATGAGGAAAATACTTCTAAAATTTTGGATTCTCTAAAGGAAAGCTATTTTGATGGGAATGTCTATGTATATATAAAAGAAATGCATGGATGTATAGGTGTATAAACAAGTTGATGATTTTAACTAATCAAGTTTCATTTATTTTAGAAATTTTGTTTGACCTCCTACTGTCTATAAAATATAGCCTTTTTATCATAGATTTTTCACAACTTTCTAAACATGGTTTAGAAGAGTCATCTGATATATATATATTCCACAATACTCAATGATGCAGCAAGATATTTGGAAATTATCCAAATATCTTTATTATTCATTAGTTTATTTAGATAATTACCTTTTATTTGTATTTTCTATATTTGAATTATTTTCCTATTTTAACTAAGATTAGGATTTTCTATATTTAAGGTTTTATTATAAACTAGGATAAGATTCGCGCCTTGCGCGGAATGAAGTTGTTATTTTTATTATGTTTTGGAAAGTGAAACAATAGTTCGGTTCATTTGGATTAGGGGTGTTCAATCCGGATATCGGGTTTTCGTTTGGTTCGATTTTTTGGTATTTTGTTTATTAAAATTTAACTACTATTCTAAATCCACATTTACTTCGGTTCGATTTGGTTTATATACTATCGGTTGAATACAACTATGTTTGTTTAAAGATAAAAAAAAATCCTAAGGAATTTCAACTAATTTGTTGTCATCAAATTTATAATCTTTACTTCGATTTAGTTACTGTTAAAATAAAGCAAAAAGATCAAAAAAATTAAGAAAATAAGAAATCCCAGTTGCAGTAAATTGTTAGTTAATTATAGTTCAAATGATTCAAGTGATTTAGAAATTGTAATTATAGCTCAACTCATGTATCAAATAGATATTTATGCATCATTATAAATATATACATATTTATATTTTTCAGTTTAATCGGTTATAAATCAAACCATATCCAAATCCTACAGTTTTTATAAAATCACATTCATTCGGTTTGTATGGTATATACAAAAAAAACATATTATCGATTGTTTAATATCTTTTAATAATATAAAATTAAAAAAAGAATTAAGATATTTAAATCTTTGATAACAATATTTTTAATGTGAAAAAATTAATAAGTTTATAATTTATAAATGTTCTTGAAAATTCATTAAAAATTTTGAAATTAAAATATTTATGTAATCTTATATGGTATATAGTTTAATCTATATATATATATATATATATATATATTTGTTTTATTGTTGAATGATACTTTTTACTCATATGGTTTAAAAATCATGTGTATCTTTTTATAAGAAAAATGTTAAACTATTGATCATCAATTTTTAACATAATAATTTTAATAGTTTTGGTCATTTATTCTCGTTTTGTAAACTTCAAAATGTATTATATATGAAAAAATTTAAAGTTTAATTTTATAGCTAATTTGATTGTTTAATTTATTTTAATAATATAAAATTAAAAAAAAATGACGGAGAAGATATAAATTGTTATCAAATATTATTATTAGAATCATTAATTTTCATATATATATATATATATTAGTTATTTATGATAATTCTGTAGGTTTTATTTAAGGAAATAAAATAAAATAGTAATTATATCTAGTGGAACAATCATAAATGCTTTCTATCGTAAATATCATAACATATCATCATATCATATAGTTTGAGCAACGAATATATCTAGCGACATATAAAAATTGAATGTGGACCTACTTATTCTTCAATTGAAGAATAAGTAGGTCCACATTCAATTGAATGCAATTGACTACCTAATTGAGTGACACTTAAGCATGGGGTCTTTTTAATTATTACAAAATTGAAGTTATAATTTTTCAAATGTTTCTCTTTTTAATATATAGGGGATAGGTATTCAAGCCTAATGGTGTATTCAGATTTTGATAATTAATAAAAGAAGCTTTGCTTTATACCTTGATATAGATTTGATTCAATTCATCTATTTTAAGTTACCTTGAACAAGATTCGATTAAATTCATCTTCTTCAGGAAGTTGGTCTCAAGAAGCTAACGAAAGTAACTCTTGATCGATCCAAGAATAAGTCTCTAAGAACCCTAAGGTTCCTTGATCGACCGTTCACCTATCTATCCGCTACATCACTCAACAACTTCAGTAAATCACATTCAAAAATTTATGCTGATTTCAAATGCTCTATAGGTGGTGGTCACTGTTGAGGCACTAGAAAAATATCTTGCCAGCTACGATTGTGCTAGTTACTAAATGTATAGAAGACGACATTAAAAGTAGCATTTACATAAAGAATTTGAGAAAATGAGTGACAATTTGTTAAAATATTTTGTAGGGATTGTAGTGCTTTTATCCATATTTATGTGTACCAACGCCATATATATCTTGCATGGTCCTAATAACGCTAGTAATTAATTTTCTTTCAAACATCCAAATCCAGTAGTTTTAACATGCATGTTTGACAACTCTCAAGTCTATGGGTTTGAGCAAGATCCAAGGCGTTGAATTTGTTGATAAACATAAACATTGCTTTATTTTTTACCAAAAAAACATTGGTTTATTACTTTCTTATAAATAGTTTAATTAATAATTTATTTAAAACCCTTATTGAATTACCAAAACACTCAAATAATTAGGATGATCTTCTCTAGCATGCCTCATCTTCACTTGTATTTTGTTTCTTACTTTGTCTATCTTCTTCATCAGATATTGGTTGTCGCCTTTCTTGTTTTCTCCCAACCTCCGTTTGGTGCAAGAGATCTTTGTTACCATATTCAGACAATTGATCAGATTCACATCTCACTTCCTGCTCAAAAGCCAAGTAACACCAAGCTAACAAGTATCACTAATTGCTATTTATATTTGAAAAACCAAATTAACATGTTGGATGTATACCGGAATTTTCCCAACTATCATATGAGCCTTGTAGAAAACATCTTTAACTTGGTTTTCATCACCCCAAGCCTCCTCAAACTTAGTAATTAGTTCTTCATTGACAAGCTCCACTCCTTGCTCCTTGGCCTTCATAGCCGGCTGCCACGATCTCAAGAACCCTATAAACCCTTTAAGCGAAAGTTTATGCGGAATATCTAGCGTGACAGGCTTTCCTTCTGACCCCATCCCTATGCCCTCAAAAGGAAACGGCAGCGTTTTATAACTATCAAATGCCAAATTCATTATAGGAGTTCTAAAAGGAAGTGTAGAGTCGACAAGGCTCTTCATTATGGGATCGATCTCGGGCGAGATAATGATATCGTTGTAGACCCAAATGGCTATTAGGCCTCCTTCCTTGCGAAGTACACGTTTTGCAACGTTATAAAATGTGGTTAGGTCGAAAAAATGGACAGCTTGTGCTGCAACTATGAGATCCATAGAGTTTTCTCCTCCGATTAAGGCGACCATTTCGTCTTCTGGCATATTTTTTGGAGTGTGATGGTAGCTAATTCTTGAGTGTTTGATTGCTCGTTTAAGTTGTGCTTCGTTTATATCGGTAGCCACCACATTCTCGTAATGCTCAACAAGCTGTGAAATATAAGAAGTTAGTTTTGATACTGTGGAGTAAAGTTTTGTTATATAACAAAATTAAACAGAACATTTCAACAAAGCAGTTCTTTTTTACGGTCAATATTTACAAAATAACTCATCAACCATAAATGAGGCTTAGTGAACTAAACATATATCGACATATTTCTCTTCTTCAATTTTGCCTCAAGATTTTGCCTAACTAAGCTCAATTGCAAGAAGTTATAATCAATGAAAGCTTATTGTATAATTGGGTTGTATCTTCCTATCATCTTTTTTTGGGAAAAGGTCTTCCTATCATCTTTCCTAGCTAAAATAGAACTTTTATTCCATAATATTTTTAAGTCAGATATATAAAAGTATATAATATGCATATAATAAAATAACAAGGCCATGCAATAGCCTAGCAACAATCAACATGCGGCCACCAAATTTGACCTTTATCTCCAGAGGAATAGACATCTTTCAGTTTGATCAACAACAAAAAAAAGACATCATTCAGTAAAAGAGTTAGTTAACTTAGGAATAGACACCTTCTTCCTAAGTTAATTAGTTATATTATTGCTGGATTTATCAGCTTAATCTCAGTACCAAAACAATTCATCCTAATTCGATCATATAGTAACGGAAGGTGTAAGATTTTTCGAAGAGATCTAAAGAAGATATAAATCTTTTAAAGGGAAACAAGAAGTATAATTTACCCCAATAGCAGCCTGGCCGTTACCAGTTCCGACATCCCAAGCAAACTTGTGGTCTTGTGTCCGTGCGGCTATCTTCTTATACCAATCCATCGGATATCTCGGCCTTGCGTCGAGATAAGCTTCGGCCTCTTTTTCTGATAAGGCAGCCATATTTTTTCCTTCTTTCTCTCGCTCGTTTCCCTTTCTTGCTTTGAGTATCTAAACTCTCAGCAGCTTCTATATACTACTCTCTTCTTAATGCTTACGAAGTCAAACTTGGCGTGCGGTAAAGTCTTACGTGGTTGTCTTTAAGTGTTTGTTTTTGTTTTCTTCTGTTTTGAGATCTTTGAATACTCCAATATAGAGTGTTGAAAATTCAAAATGCATGTCAGTATGTTCCACGAGACGATTATAGAAAATGATTTTCTTGTAAATATAATCAATGAGTTGGACTTACCTACCTACCTAGAATTCTATCAATTATTTGATCACATGCGTACCTCCCTTTCATTCAGTAGGAAAGTAAAACAAAAATAACACATCTGTTTTTTTTTGTCTCCTCAATAATTAATACGAAGAATGTGTATATTCAGCAATTTAGCCACATTTGATCACTTGAACAAGTCGTCTATCTTTCCTCCACTACCATCTATTGTTGAGAAATTTGTAAGAATACTCCAAAAACCTTAAACCAAGGAATCATACAAAATTATACACTTTTTATAGATAAAATTGTATTTTAAATACTCAAATTGGTAAAAATTTGTTTTTTACATTTTGACATTCAACATTTAACACTTTAAACAATGAAATAATTTCAATAACATATTAAACATAGTAGGTAAAATGGTGATGTGGCAGTTTAGTGTTTAGTATATTATTGAAATTAGTTTTATTGTCTAAACTGTTAGATGTTGAATCCCAAAATTTATATTGCAATTTTGCTCTTTTTTATTTTGACACTAGATTCTGACCCTCCCTTAAAAAGGCGGGTATATTTTTTGTTTTATATTTTTTAAAAATTTAAATTTTCTATTTGTATTTTTAATTCATATTGGTATTTTTTATAATATGTTTCTTATATATTTAATAAGATGTTTTAACAATTGTATTAAAATGATTTCACCACACCTATATCAATAAATTTTGATATTATTTTAATATAATAGATTAAAACAGAATAGTAATAAAATATATATATCGAGCAGATAAAACAATATAAATTTTATAAAATAGACATGATTTAATTTCCTATATAATTATAATAACATTATTATTACACATAATACTACACATAATAATGTGTATAGCAATTAAAAATGGGTTCTGGTAAATCAAGATCCATGAACCAAATTTAATGGGTTTTATAAATAAAGTCCATGGTCCAAATTCTTTCATCCCCGACAACAACATCATAGACTTATGGCACTGACAAACAGTTTTATTTGTTGTTAGTTTCACATTTTTATATTTATGAACACCTAGAATTATTTTAATAAATGATAGTTTTGACAATATGTTTTTTTAAAAATTTATATAATATGAAACCAAATCAAATAATAATGTTATTTGGTATAAAACCGAATAAACCGAAAACCGGTAGTATAAATACCGAACCAAACCAAATTAAATATGGTTCCAATATGATAGCTAATTTTTATAAACTGAAAAACCGAAAACCAAAAAAATTTGAACCGAAATCGGACCGAACACCAGATTGAACAGGCCTATTATAATGTAAAAAATTTGGAATCGTGGAAAATATTTGCTGGGCACAACTATTATCAATAGGGCATGATCATATTTTAATAGTATTGATTTAAATCCTCGGGAAAAGAACGAATTACACGTGTAAAGTAAAAAAACATAAACGTTTTTTTGTGTGCATAAACTGGGTTAACCCGACCCGATTCTCTCCTCTTCCCCCGAATAAAAAAACCCTATTCACCCGTCACTCAGCATCGTCATCGCGCAGAGAGAAATCTCAGGTCTTCATTCTAGTGATCCTTGCTCTAATGGACGAAGATCATTCCGCTTCAGATGCCAACAGAGCTTCAGGTCCATCACATCCATAATAGATTCCTCACATTTGAACTTTGTCATCTCATTTTATTTTAATCCTTAGGTAGTAAAAGAAGCTTCGCTGGTGTTAAAGACGATGAAAGTGATATCTCCTTCTCAAAGAAAGTTTCATCAATCGACAAGAGGTTCTTGATTGATACTTTTAATGCCTTTTGAAAGAAAAAAAAAAATTGTTTGCTTTCTCATGTAGTATATAACTTTTAACCTCTCTCTCTATCTCTCTTTCTGTGTGGCAGACTTGAGGATTGTAAAGACGAGGTTGCTTCATTACCAGCATTTTTCGCTGCCGCTATTGAGAAATCTAAAGAGGAGCTTGTTTCATTGGTTCTTGGTAGTATTCAGAGTTATAAAGACCACCTTGCTTCATCTCAAGTATGCTTTTTTTTTTTTAAGTTTCTATTTACTATTTATTGATGTGTTTCTTATCTTTTGTGATCTAACTAGTTTTTGTGTGTTGAGGTCAGAATGAGCTTGAATCAGAGATTGATAAGTGGAAGTCAGCGTTTAAAGACGAGTCCTTTGTACCCGCTAGAAAATCTCCTGGTTATAATATTCTTCTTCTCCATTTTTCAATGTTGATTTGTATATGCTATGCTAAACCCCTTTTTTAACAGCACCAAAATGATTTTTTTTTTTATCTACAGAACCTCAACATGTGATTGACTACATCCAAACATTAAGATCTTCTGACAAGTCTTTGAGAGAAGAGGTTGTTAGCATTATTGAGTAATTACTAATTTTGTGTATTTATCAATCAAAACAAGTTTCTGACAGCTTTTTTATCTCTTGTTTCAGTTGGAAATTGCAAAAATGAAGGTAAACAAAGAAATCATTTGCCTTATTGCATATACCATTACATGTTTTCTTGACCCATTATATGGAAACAATCGTTGCTAAAGGTAGTTTTTTTTTTGGGGATTTGTATGTATAGTTAGCTATCCATGATCTGAAATCTCAACTCAAGACAGAGTCAGTCAAGGTATATAATCCTCCCCAGATTATTATTATGAACTATGAAGCAAGTTACACAACTAGGCCAACAAGCTAGCTGTTGAAGCAACTTGGACTGTTCTAGGGATACATACTTGTCCACTCTTTTATTGACAAAAGTGTAGTTCCTTTGAGGATGCCCATCCTAGAGCTTAATTCATGTTTGAGGGAATCATTCTCCTTATAAAACCTTTTCATGGCCTCTGGTTGCAGCCAACAAATCGGGGTACAGAAGTCCACAGCGAGCAGCAGCAGCAAGGAACGACTCCCTCTGGTTCATCACGCAGTGTGGCATGGCTCGAGGTAAATCAAGCTGAAACACTGTCTCATGTTGTTAACTATACACTACTTTAGTATATTTCATTATTGATTTTGGTGATTTAAAGGAAGAGTTGAGGGCAGCAAATGCGCGGATCGCAGAGTTGAATGAGTATCAGGAGGTGGAGTTGAAGTCGCTGGTGAAGGTGAATGAGTATAATAGGAACATGGTGAAGGTGATACTTGAAAAACTCCCAGACTTGTTCCCTCCACCACCTGCACCTGCACCAAAGGATGACAATGAGCAGATGTAGAAAAACCTGTTTCATTGTTTTGTAACGGAAACTTACTAATCTATCTATGTAGAAAAACGTTGGAATCATTTCAAATGGATTTTTCTGGTAATAGCCTGATCATTTTTTTGATCTCAACGGTAATAGGCTGATTAATATCCCTAATTTTTCTAATATCTGATATATTAAAAGAGAAGTCATGACTTCACTTCATGTGTGATATTTTAAAATGGACCATCTAATAGTATTTATGACATTACATTATTCAATCATTAATAACATTCATTAGATTCATTAATAACATTTATTGGGCTTAATAGAAATTTTTATTGGGCTAATAAAAATTAGATGATCCATTGGATTTATAGATATTATAGTAAAATACATGTTTAAATTAAACTTACATAATTTAATATTGTAATACTATAAGTTAATATTTATATATTTTTGATGTTAACTTTAAAAATTATATAGTTTATTTTTAAAAATAACAAAATCATCATTTTCTAACAATAATTAATCTATACTATATAATAATTAATCATCATTTTCGATATACATACCTTATATAATATATAACAATTTATAGGTAAAAAAATGTTTATATAAAAAAAATGAAAACAAATACCCGCGCGGTTGCGCGGGTTGAGATCTAGTTTCATATTAATTAAAGAGTAGGCGTTCCTTTTTGTAAGCTTCTCTCAGTAATCACACTTTCCAATATTTTTGTAAAAATGTATGTTTTCGCTAAAAGTACAATTGTTAAAAAAGAATTTTATTGAAAACAAAAGAATCTTCAAATAATTACTACTCCATGAAATATATAATTGATCACATAATTATTTAATACTTCTTTTTGCTTTTTAAGAAAAAAAAGAAAAGGGAAATTATTAGTGTTAGTTAATTGTGATTTTAAAATATATTTAAAAACTATCAGCAGATATTTTAAATAATTGACAAAAAAATCATAGTAAATTTTAATTCAACCTAAATCATATAAAACCTTGTTGAAAATCAAACCACTCCAAACCATCTAAAAGACTAAAACACATAGTTATCTATAAGTTGACAGAAAAAAAAAAAGACTAAAACACATAATTCTTTATATTTTTAAGGAATATTATATATAAAAAATAAAAATAAAACAAAAGATTATAAAAATATACATAAAGTAAACTTTAGGTCATCATCACTCACATGTAACAACCAGCGAGATCAAGAATTCAAAACTCACCAGGAGCGGGAAAACAATCCTACGTGGCATCATCTCCCCCAAAAAAGAAACGCATCTCTCCATTAAATAAACAGAGAAGAAACCCTTCCCTCGACCTCTCAATCTCAAACAAACACAACCAAATGGAGAAGTACGAAAAACTCGAGAAAGTGGGCGAAGGAACCTACGGAAAAGTCTACAAAGCCATCGAGAAATCCACCGGAAAACTCGTCGCACTCAAGAAAACCCGCCTCGAGATCGACGAGGAAGGCATCCCACCCACCGCCCTCCGCGAGATCTCCCTCCTCCAGATGCTCTCCACCTCCCTCTACATCGTCCGCCTCCTCACCGTCGAGCACGTCCTCAAACCCCCCGCCAAGTCCAACCTCTACCTCGTCTTCGAGTACCTCGACACCGACCTCAAGAAGTTCGTCGACTCCTACCGCAAATCGGCCAACCCCAGGCCTCTCGAAGGGGCATTGATCCAGAAACTGATGTTCCAGCTTTGTAAAGGGGTCGCGCATTGTCATAGCCATGGTGTGTTGCATCGTGATTTGAAGCCGCAGAATCTGTTGCTGGTGAAGGATAAGGAGTTGCTTAAGATTGCGGATTTGGGGCTGGGGAGGACTTTTACGGTGCCGTTGAAGTCTTATACTCATGAGATTGTGACGCTTTGGTATAGGGCGCCCGAGGTTTTGCTTGGTTCCACGCATTATTCTACGGGTGTTGATATGTGGTCTGTTGGTTGCATCTTTGGTTAGTGTTTTTGTTTTTATTTTTCTTTTTTGGATTTTGGTTTTTAGGGTTTTTAATGTTTTGTTTTTTTGGATTTGGATTAGCTGAGATGGTTAGGAGGCAAGCTCTGTTCCCTGGTGATTCTGAGTTTCAGCAGTTGCTTCATATCTTCAAGTATGTTTTGCCTCTCCTTTTAATGTTGGTTTGTTTACTTTTCTATGCTTCATTGAGTGATATAGGTAGCTACTACTTCGAATGGAGGCTTTGTAGTACAGTTATTCTTTATCGCAAAGCTTGATTCTTGAATGTTTTTTTGCTGAAATGAAGTTCTTTTTGGATTGGGCATTGTATTTTATGACCTTTATTGTATAGAGATTTGCAACTTCCATTGGTTCTTCTGGTTTCCTCAAAGTTTGTTTACTTTCTATGCATCATTGAGTGATATGGCTAGCTACTAGTTGAAATAGAATCGAAACTTTCTAGTACAGTTTTTCTTTATGATAAAGATTCGTTCTTGAATGGTTTCTTTTTTTTTGCTAGGAACACTAACTGAGCTACTAATTTGAAACGATAGACCCTTTGTAGTTCAGATTTGTTTGATCATAAAGATTCACTCTTGAATGTTTTTTTTTGTGCTGAATGAAGTTCGTTTTGGATTTGGGATTGTATCTTATGACCATTCTTGTATAGAGACTTGTAGCTTGTTCTTCTGGTTTTCTCGTTGTTTGTTTACTTTCTATATGCATCATTGAATGATAAGTTTAGGCATCTAGCTACTCAGTATACCTTTTATAGTCCAGGTTTGTTTGATCGTAAGGATTCACTCAATGTTTGTTGCTGAAAAGAAGTTATTTTTGGATTCGGCGTTGTATCTTATGACCATTCTTGTATTTGTAGCTTCAATTGGTTCTTCTGGTTTTCTCAAAGTTTGTTTACCTTCTATGCATCATTGAACGATATAGCTAGCTACTAATTGGAATCAGTAGACCATTTTGTAGTCCAGTTCTTTTTGATTGTAATGATTCAGTTTTGAATAATTTTTGATGAATTAACGTTCTTTGGATTTGGCATTGTGTCTTATGAACATTCTTGTATAGAGATTAGTATCTTCAGGTATGAGTATTGATGTGTATCAGTGAATGATATAGCTAGCTACTAATTGAAATCAATGGAACCTTTGTAGTTCAGTTTCATTGATCATAATGGTTTACTCTTGAACTTTTTTTTTGCTGTATTGAAGTTCATTTTTGGATTTGGTATTAGATCTTATGACTATTCTTGTATAGAGATTACTAGATTAGTATCTTACAAATGGGTTTTCTTGGTTCATGGAGATTGCTAGGAACACCAACTGAGCAGCAATGGCCAGGTGTTTCATCTCTGCGTGACTGGCATGTCTACCCAAAGTGGGAGCCGCAAGACTTAGCACGTGCTGTTCCATCTCTTTCGCCTCAAGGAGTTGATCTTCTTACGGTAAATTAACTGACTCATGCCCATAGCATTTGAATATTGCTTCTGCTTCCTCCATTTTTGAAGTCTCTTTGCTTCAATCTGATTCAGCTTATTTGTTTTAAACAAATGGCAGAAAATGCTCAAGTACAATCCTGCTGAAAGAATTGCAGCAAAAACAGCACTTGATCACCCTTACTTTGATAGCCTTGACAAATCCCAGTTCTGAAGCTCCCCTTCAATTCAAGAATACGACTTATCTTTGAGTTAAGATCATCATCATCTTGGTGAATCTAAACCATCTGATTTCTCTGTTGCTTTCCGACACATCAGTGTCATGTTTGAATTACAGATTTGTTTTCTCAGTTGAACTTGAATGTAAAACACAATGGTGTGGTAACTATGGTAAGATTCCCAAAAGATTTGTTTGTTTCATAATATCATACAACTCAACTTTCTCAAGATGTCAACTTGACCATAAGCGCGTATAGAGAGAGGACTTCCAAAGATGTAGAGTTTCTTTGAAGTAAAGGGTCTTTAATAAAATTGCTAAACCCCAAATGTTACGTACAATGATACTTGTGTTGCACAAACACATACCCTGATACCCAAACTAGTCTTATAACAAGCTGCTCAAAAGACACTGAGTTAAAGAGATTGATTTACTTACTACACACAACTGAAAGAAACCTAACAGAAGTAGCTGACGATGATATGTGATGTGAAATTAATTGGACCACACATGAACAAAGCCGTGTCCGTTTCCTGTGTATATCTCATTACGTTCTTCGTCATAGAATAGAGCCGTTATGTTTTCCAAAGCTTCAGCCACTGCGTTTCTTCTTTGATTTGAGTTGGTCCCAAAACTACTACTACTACTCTCATCTTCTTTTGGAGGTGCACTGCTTGATGTTATCTTAGCTAAGCATTTCCCTGTCAATATATTGCTGATATTGATTGATCCCGCTGCACCATTAACAAAAACAATCAGTGAAGACTTGTTATTAGTTTATGTGTGTTAATAAGATGAGCTTTATTGTATTTACCATTTCCCTGTATCCACTGATCTTCAGTATCAGCTTTGCAATAAGAGATGATCAGATCTTGGTCACTTGTTATGTAGATGTTGTTTGTGTTACAGTCTGGATGCCATAGAAGATGATCCTCAAAGGAAGTCACCAGCTCTCCACGAAAATTCCACACAGACACATTGCGATTCTTGAATGTTAGGAAAAGCTGGTTCTCATAAAGGAATATGAAGGCAGACGGTGTCATGAACTCAGCTCGACTAACTTCCATTAGTTCTGCGGTTCTGACCTGCGTTTACAAAGCAGAGACAAACCATTGGTAAAAGACATGGAAAACAGAAACTAAGAGATTGGTTTGAAGCTGACTTACGTCAAGAATTTGGAGATTTTCATTCTCTTGCTTAACAAGAAGTTTCTCGTTGAATTGTTCAATGAAATCAACTTTCTTGTTACGGTGAAGCAAATGATTGAATGACTTGAGAACTGTGCCATCTTCTATCGATAGAATCTTCAAAGGAACGTGACTTGTAGCTTTCTTGAAGATCAATAACATTATCCCTGGACTGTTGCAGGAAAAGATACACATAACTAAGTCAAAAGTCTCCCAACCTGATCTAGTAGTGGACTGAACAGTCAGAAAGTAACTTGCAAACATACCTGATTTTTATTTCTTGGACATGTTTATATGATATTGAATACAACATGGTGTAGTTTTTCAGATCAAAAACCTTATAAACACTGCAGAAACAGCTTTTAGGCTCAGAGGAACAAACTTGTAGCAGTCACAAAATTTGAGTAGTGGAGAATGAAGACCAGAAATTAACCTGCCCTGAGCAGAATACGTAAGCACCTTTCCATTGACATCATCAAACTCTACAAAACCAGGAAACTTTAATGACTCCGACTCAAAAAGGGCAAACCCTGCACCTGGCTGACCTCTCAGAATATACCTAATAGTTAAAAAATCACAACCAGAATGACTCATCATTTCGCATAGCCCATAAAAATAAGACACTGGATACAAACCAATAAGGGAGAGACAAGACAAACATACTCAATTCTAGTGGATCTGCATTTCAAAGAACCGAAACTATCCGAAGCATAAACAGAAACAGTGATGAGGGAATCATTGTGCTTGTTGTAGAACAAGCTCCTAATGACTTCATCTGGACCTACATTCATAAAGCATATCCTCCTATTCGTCTCTGCAATTCAAAACAAGAAAATCCAAAAATGTAAAAAGCCTCTCAAAGGTGAAAAGTTTAAGCAGTCGCAAAGTATTACCTCTACTGAAAGCTACACAGAGACCAGACAGAGCAAGCGCAAAGACAATGTCCCTTGCAGCAACAATCTCGATAACTTGAGTTCTTTTCATCAAAAACGGTAATGCAGCTAAACAATGTCCCTTGGGATCATGAGTATCATATTCCTCCTGCAAACCAAAAATCAATTTCCACGAAAGGACCTTAATACTGAATCAACTTCATATAATCTAGGTTTTAACGAGAAGAAGCATAAAAATCAATTTCTAGCGTTTGGCAGAGAGATTCTCTAAATTACTGAATTAAATTGCAAAGTTCAACACTTTAGTAGATAATAAGCAAACCCACAACGCAATTTCTAGAGTTTGAGAGAGAGAGATTCCCTTAATTCACGTAAATTAGGTCAAATGAGAGATTCTCTAGATTACTGAATCAATTTGCAAAGTTCAACACTTTAGTAGATAATAAACAAACCCAGAACGCAATTTCTAGGGTTTGACTCTAAATTCCCATAAATTAGGTCAAATCACAAAGATTGAGGAGTTACCACGAGACGCATGTTACGGAATTTCTCCTGGGCAGTGTTGATGGAGAAAGCTCGATGTTTACGAGACGAGATTTCTCTTCGCTGAAGCTTTTTGAAACTGTTGACGAACCCATCGCGACGAGGTCTCTTTTTAGCAGCGACGACTCTTCTTCCACGGCAAGGTCTAGGGCTAGCTGTAATCCGTCTTCCTTCCATCTATTTTAGAGATAAGGTTTTGTGTAAAACCCTAACGATGCGGAAGAAGAAGCCTCGAGGGGGAAATTGAGTAGTGAAGGTAAGAGATTTGCAGATTCGGTTTTGGAATGGAATCTCTGATTCAATTATGTTCTCAAAGCTGTTTTCATTCAAAATCCCAGTTTCGAGCATGAATTGTTTTGCTGCACTTATCCATGAAAATTTTCAAAAAATATTAAAAATGGAGCGTATGGAAATTAGAAGGTTTGATGGGTTGAATAGCTTTGATGGGCTATGGCCCAATAATATGTTATTGGACTCGCAGACTATTTTTCTAAAGAAAATCACTTGCCTATGATTTTGTTTTGCTAAATATTAATTACTCTATTTTGATATTTTTTTTTACGTCGACTAAACTTCTTTTAAATAGAAACACCATAGTAGACTAATGATCTTCATGTAGACTATATACAATCAGCTTAATTCAATAATAGTAAGTGTTATAAAAAAAATATGGAAACACCATAGTCTGATGGTCAAAAGTTTAAAAGTTTCTACATCAAATCTGGGATTTGAACTCTAGACAATATAATTTATAGATTTCAAGAAGTATCGTCAGGAGTAGATTTTACAAGGCGGTTCAGGGTAATGTAGTCAAACGTGAATTCGCATAATACATGTAAAATTATCGATTATAATATTATTTAGATAATGTTTCTCATAATTTGTAATACTATAATTAACCAAGATAACAAAAAAAAAACTTCTTTTCAAAATATTTTAAAAGAAAAATGATTTATGTAATACAAAATTATGTAGAGGCAAAAGTGTATTTATCATTTTTAAACTAGTAGAACAAATGGGGAGGCATAACCAAAACTCTAAACCAGACCTAAAAGTCATATCCTATTAAGGAAGTAACGGGCCCTGACAAAGACGGTCAATTAGTCATTGAACATATGTAAACAACCACACGAAACTAGCAAAAGCGATGGATCTCAAACAAAGTGTTACCACAATCATGTGTGATCACCCTGATTACTACTTCCAACCTCACATTATTATTTTAGCATCGCCATTTGTTCAATTCCAGTTGTAAAACCTCAATTAAAGTCCTCGTTGAAAAAATAGAAGTTTAAAAAGGAAAAAGAAATAAAACGATACACGTTTTCTCAAGTAATTTTAAACCAAACTAATCAATGAATACTACTAACGCTGCTCAACCTACAACTAACACTGTATTCTGGCATTGACCACAATTATTTCATCTTATATACAGAACCGTCCATCCTCATCATCTCTATCAATGATAGTTTTATACTACAAACTACAAAATATGAAATTTTAGATTTTTAGAAATTCTATTAAGCATATTCGGGAAATCATTTTATTTATTACCATTAGTAAAACAAATGTTAAAAACATAAATTCCCTGACAAATTCTGACACATAAATTTTGTGTGTTTTACAGAACACATATAAATTTAACAGTACAACCTCTTCACTCTTGAATTAATGTTCTATAAATCAATATACACTAAAAATCTCTATAAATTAATATAATTTTATAGTTCAAAAATAAGTTTTTGGTTTAATTAGTATATCGATAAATTAATAAAAAAATATAGTTTTGGTGTATTCTCAATATTATTAATTTATAGAAGTTTTACTATAATATAAAAAAAATAACTAACCCATTTTACTCAAATGTAAAAAAAATTTCGGATGTGTTTATAAATACCTTTGACCAAAGAAAAAATACAACAGCCAAGAGAAGTAGAATCGGTAACAGAGAAAAGAGTTTGAGCGTCTTGTCAATGACACCGCATGACAAAAGCGACAAGACAGCAGCACCCATGTCAGCATCTGAAGCCCCCAAGACAAACGCTGCCATGGAAACGCAATCTGCTAACGGCGGTAAAAAACGGAAGAAACGCAACCGCAAAATATGTATCTGCGTGATCACTCTCCTCCTCCTCCTCCTCATCTTCACAACGTTCCTCGTCCTAGGCCTCACTCTCTTCAAACCCAAACGCCCAATCACAACCGTCGATTCCATCTCCATCGAACGACTCCAAGCTTCACTCGACGCTTTGAACTTTAAAGTCATCCTAAACCTAACGCTCCACGTCGACCTCACGTTAAAAAACCCTAACCGAGTCGGGTTCAGCTTCGGTCCATCGTCGGCTTTACTTAACTACGGTGGGAAATTGATCGGAGAAGCGCCGTTCTCGGCTAGTCAAATCGGGCCGGAGAAAACGTTGCCTATGAACGTAACGCTGACTTTGATGGCTGATCGGTTACTTACCGAGACGAAGCTTGTTGGTGACGTTATGTCTGGGTCTATCCCGGTTAACAGTTTCGTTAAAGTGGTCGGGAAAGTAAATGTTTTGAAGATCTTCAAGATTAAAGTAGAGTCGTCTTCTTCGTGTGATATCGTCATATCTGTTTCGAATCGTAACGTTACGAGTCAACACTGTAAGTCTTCAACTAAGCTGTGAGATTGTGTTCGTCTTTCACTAGAAGGAACATGAAACATGAAGCTTTTAGTTTACTGATGTACTACACTTTTGTCTTCTTGTTTTTGAAATCTTTCGGCTTGTTTTATGTATTATTGGTTGATTTCGAACAAATAAAATCAAATTTATTCAGCAACTTCGAACGTAACAAAAAAAAAAAAAAAACTTCGAACGTAACAGACGGCTATTTTATTTCAATTTTTTCATATAAAAAGTTAAAAGGAAATTAATCCGATTCTGTTTTTTTTTTTGAACACTAGATATATAACTATGTTTTGAAAAATATTACAACGATTTCTACCACCGACAATTATATATGCATTATAAAATTGGATGTCTGATGCATAATTTTGGCATTCTCCAATATTTTAAACTAGGTGATTTTCCCGTGCTCATGCACGGGCATAAATATTTATAAAATAAATATACAATAATAATTGATTGATATTTACTTAAATTTTAAATAAATTTATAGTTTTTCTGTCTAATTTATATTATAATATTATATTACTTTAATTATATATATAATTAGATAAGTTATATTTAGTTATTTTATTGTTTTTATGGTCGATTTAGTTATCATTTAGATATATTGGATTCTATCTATTTCTATGAATTCAACTATAATATTTTTTATTTTAAATATATTAAAATTTTGATTAAATGTCTTATTTGCATTTATGCTTATTGTTATCTTAGAAATAATTAAATTAATATAATATTATTAATATAAATTATACCTACAAATTATAAATTAATTTTAAATTTGAGTCAATATCAATCAATTATTATAATATATTTATTTTATAAATATTTATGTCTGTGCATGAGCACAGAAAAATCACCTAGCAATTAATAGAATATAATATTTATTAATATAAATTATACATATAAATTTATTCAAAATTAAAACAAATATTAATTAATTATTATAAAATTGTACTTTTATGAATATTCATATCCGTGCATGAGCACGGGAAAATCACCTAGTATCAAGATTATTTGTGTGAACTTTTTTTATGAAATCACATTATATACAAATATTGTTTTTTATCTAAGAAGATATAGATATAAAGTATTTTATTACTTCAAAATTATATTTTATGTTATTTAAAATATAATTAAATTAAATATTACTATTTTGTGAACTTTCCTTTTTTTTTATGAAACCATATTATATATACTTATATTTTCGTTTTTAAATAGTTTTGTAAACTCTATAAATGTTTCCTTTTTATTTTATATTGTTATTTGGAAATTTTTAAAAAAGAAATAATAATATTTAGTTACATTTTTAATTCATTAGGGGTATCACAGTAATCAACCAGTGTGAGAGTTAATGTGAGCGCGGCACCTAAGAAAGTGACTTCTCAAATAATATTATAGAGATATATATCATTCATATATGAATAAAGGAAAAAAAATTTTAGGCCAAAAATATTAGGACATTTTCTTAGACTAATATATATTTTGTACCATTTTTTATTCTAATGCCTTTACGTATTTTCAGCAATTAATCAAATAAATAGTTTTATGAACAAAAAAATAATTTTAAAAATAATAATTAATGATCAAATACAAATACATATATCAACTTAGTGGTAACTTTCAGTTTAAAAAATGTTTAAATCATAATTTTATATTTTGTTCTACAGATATTAGAATTGACATTTTACAAAGCAGAATCTGAAATCCATTTTTTCATAAAATATATTATGTTCAAAATACATATTTTACGTAAATAATAGTAATCAAAAACTATTTGGAATACACATTCTACATTTAACATATCCCTCTAAAATTAGTAGAATTCAGAATCTAAAAATTACTATAAATCTAAAATATGTAGAAATAGAAATATACACATTACTATAAATCTAAAACTAGTGGAAATTGATTTCAAACATTCTTAATGCATTTTACATATATGTACATATTCTACGTATAAGGACAACCGATTGTGAAAATTTGGAAATATTCAGTTACCATATATAAAAATTTGATTTTTCAAAAAAATATATAATTATTGTTTTCTAATTAGAATTTCTAACTAATAATATATTTCTAAATATTTTTTTAAAAAAATATTTGGAAATATGTAATAGTTTAAAAAAAAAAATATTTGGAATTTCAAAAATTTGAGAATGAATATTTGGAACATTTTGTTTAATTTGGAATAAGTTTTTTTTTTTAATTTTGAGTTAGTTTTTTTTCAAATATTTGGATTTTTATTAATTTCAAATTAGTTTTTAAAATATTTGGATTTTTTTTTGGAATTGTTTTGTATTTCGACTTATTTTTTATAATTTGGAAATATTTTTTAATTTTGTATTAGTTTTTAAAATGTTTGGAAACTTTTTTTTTATTTCGAAATTTGGAAATATGTTTTAATTTCGATTTAGTTTTTAAAATATTTGGAAATTTGTTTTTAAAAAATATTTGGAAATTTGTTTTTAAAAAATATTTGGAATTATATATTTTAAAAAATATTGGAATTTTTAAAATTTTGGAATAAAATATTTGAAACTATTTTTTAATTTACAAATTAGTTTGTTTATTTAATCTAACATATATAATTTTTATTTTCTAATTAAAATTTTGAATTAATAAACTAAATTTAAGGGTATTATTGTCATGAAGAGAATAATTAACCTAATAGGACAACTAAACAATGAAATTAGCCTAAACAAACAATATACTAGTTGTTTTGGTTTAAAAAAAAAACAATTTTCTCATGAATAAACCAGAAAATTGGTTATAAACCGGTCAAACTTGCCAAACCAGAAACTTGTTTTTTCCAAATTTGGTTCAATACCAAACTTGGTTTCCAAATTCAAACTAAAAAATTTTGTAAACTAAATATATACTAGACCATGACCCATCCGACCGGGCGGGTGTTTTGTTTTCTTTTAATTTTTAGGTTTATACTAAATGATATAAAATAAAAAATGAAGTATCAATTAAATGGTTACAAATTACTTATGAGTTTAATTTTGATAGAAGAATACCGAAAGTTTTCTGTTTGATCCGCGCAAGTGTTTGTTTTTATATATTTTATAAGTGATAATATATATTTCTAAATTTACCCGTTTAAATAATTGTTTAAAATGACATTTTAAACACACAATTTTATAGTTTATATTGAGTAATTTTATTTTATCTTATAAACTATCATTGTGTTATACTTATTTTAAAAATATGACCCGTATATATGCACAAATGTTTTTATTTTATTTTTATGGATCAAAATTTTATGATAATGTAAAACTAAATTTTTTTATTTACTATTTAAAATATATGGTCCTATATATTTCTACTTTTTAACTTTTATTATTCTGAATTTACCTTGAACTATTATTTATATAATATACATAACATGATATGTTTATATTAATCTTTTCATTATATATTATATAAATGTTTCTTTTTGTGACTTTTATTTTAGTTATTACTTATAAATAATAAAAATATAATTATTTATCTCTGAAAAAAATATTGTTCATTAACTATTTAAAGATATGTAGAAAAAATCCTAAAATGTAGGTTAATTAATATTGGAATTAATTATTATGTATATGGAATTAATAAAACAATTTCTATATAATTTATTTATTTAATTACGAAAGGTATATATGAAAATAATTATTTTCATTAATTATTGTTGCCATAAATATTTTTAGTTAAAATTTGATTTTTGAAATGCATTAATTAAAGTGAAAAAACAAAGAATCCTATAAGGTAGGGTAATTAATAATTTCAGTGGTATAACATTGTAAATAATTAGAAAAACTCAGGGCTATTTTATATGGGTACTTCTCTTTTAATAATATAGATATTTCAGAAATATTACATATTTTGATATTTATCTATTAAAACCCTAAATTATTCTTTCCACCAATCAACATTACTCTATACCACTTATTTTATCAAAATTTGATTCATTCTGAATAACGCATAAGCTGTTGCACCGTACCAAATTTCATTACGCACTGTTTATATTACCAAATCACTGTCCAATTCAGACTCTTAATGAAGGCAGATTGTAAAAAAGTAGTTGGCAGTTCGGATTGCATTCAAAGCACTTCTTGTTTATTATATCTATAAGCCATATAGATTTAATATGTGGTTTTCAAGCTCTGCAAATATACAGAAACTCATCCAGAAAAAATACATCATTGTTTGGTCATGACCAAGGTTAAGCGTAAACCAAGACGGTGCGTTTGCTGCCTAGTATCTGGTATCGTCACTGTTGTCTTCCTTATCTTTTTCAGTATCTTGATCTTGGCATTCACTACTTACAAAGCCAAACAAAAGACCAATAATTAAGATCCAGTCTGCAACTGTACAAGGCATATGGGCATCTCCTCGCATATATTCTTGCGAAGAATTGTGTGAGTTTTTTTCAAACATGAGACAGGGAAGAGAAGTAGTTCGTATAAAGGTGGAAGCTAGTGAGTAATTAATGTTGATCTTCCCTCCGGTACTTTCTCGCGGCTTAAAGGTTCATCGATTCTCCCATGTTGTCTTGCTCTTCAGATCCATAAGTTTGCTACACACTGAAGTGGCGTCATGCAATTTCAAGCTATTTTGGGTGGAAAGATTGTGTTGGAAACAAAGACAAAGATACCAGACAAAATCCAGTAGTTGGCTGCTATATTGTCGGTTTGCAAGATCACCATTTACTTCCCTTCCATGAAACTGCGGAGTCAAGAATGCGAAAAAAAAAAAAAAAGAATGTAATTGCATTTCTTCATCGCAGACACTATCCTCTTTTCCTTACCACTCCACTTGAATTATTTTGTAGCTTGTTTGAATTTTCTTTTTAAGTACATATGTTAGATTTAGATCTGCTTTATGTTCATGCTTCGAATCCCCTATATATTAATTGAGAAACATTTGAAAAGATGTAACCTCAAGTTTGTAATAATTAAAAAGTAACTTTGCTTAGTTGTCAATCAATTAGCATACCAATTAAACTGACGTGGCAGCTTTAGGTTCAATTGAAATTTGTTAGGGAAAAATAATTAGAGACGCATATAACGCATGTAACATAGTTTTTATATATATATATATATCGCACGCATGTAATGGAAGAAAAGGAAAATATACGATTTGATAACGATTTGCATATATT